CGGGCCCCGGCTGCCCCCCCCAGCTGCGCGCGGAGGGAGCTGGGGCACCCGGGGCTGCTGGGGGGGGGCGGACAGCCGGGGGGCCGGGTGTCCGCTGTGTTTGCGTGTGCACACGCGTGTGCAAGCACCGGGGTCACGCCGGGTCTGCCGCCGCACCCGCAGAGCGACTTGCACATAGAGCGAGCGCGTCTCCGCCGTGGGGCGCAGGCAAGACACCCCCCCCCCCAAAACCCACCCAGCAACGGGGCGGGGCTGGGGCTGGCATTGCCCACCGTGGGTGCTGCTCCCCCTGTGCTCGGCTGCCCTGCCAGCTCCAGGGCTTATCTCTGCCCTCTGGACCTGCACCGGGTGGGACTTCGCTCAGCACCCGGGCGGTCACCCTGCTGCTGCCCGCTGCCGCTGACCCCGTGGGGCTCATCCTTTGCAAGCCAGGGCAGGGGATGATGCTGAACGAGACCCTGGCAGGGAGCCCGTGCCACGGCGCAGCGTCTGAGAAAGCATTTAGTGCTGGCAGGGGCACCTGCACCCGAGATGCTGCAGAGGACCCCAAATCCCCTGATCCAGGGAGTGCTGAAGGTGCCCAGCACCTGGCTGGTGGGTGCCAGCGTGGGAAGTGGCCCAAGGAGCCCCAACCAGCGGGTGTGCTGCCGTGCCCGTTCCTCAGGGAGAGGGCTGAGGGTGGGCGGAGGCGTATTTCCCCATCAGAAAGGGAAACTGAGGCACAGTGCAGCATGGCTGCTGCCCAGAGTAAGGCCCTGCCAACTTGTTCCCCAGCAAATCGCACCCCCGCCTCCCAGGGCAGGATGAGGACCACGGTGTCCTGAGCAGCGAAGGGCATGGGCACCCTGTGTGGGCACGTGTGGCACCCATTCGTCCCTCCATCTGGGGGGGGGATGATGCCCCCCCCCCCCCTCATGCCAGCACCAGCCTGGCCCACGCAAAGCTGCTGTGCAGGGCTGAGCAGGGGGCTGGCGCTGCAGAGAGCGAGCAGAGGCTTGTCCCCCCCAGCCACGGGGCTGGCACATGTCCCCCCACCCTGCCCATGGCCAGGCCCTACTCACCAGTCCCTCCTCCTGAAGAGGCTCGGGGAGTATGGCGGCTGGAAGGCCATGCCAGCGCCTGAGACCCCGCTCTGGCCCGTCTGCTCCCCGGCGGCAGCCCAGCGCCCCAGCAGCGATGCCGGTTCTGCCCGCAGACGCGTCCCCCCGGCCTGCCGGGTGGCAGGGACAGCCTGGGTGCCGGCTGCATCCCAGGGCAGCGGGCACGGGGTAAACACGTCGGGTAGATGACCTCAGCCCCGCTCAATTGGCCCTTTCAGGGGCCAGCGGGTCAGCGTGCCACCCCGAGCCGCCCGGGTGCCAAGCGGGGAGCAGGTGGCTGCCCCCCTCCACGGGTAGATGAAAGGCGCTCTGTGTGTGCTTGTCCCCAGGGTGGCTGGTGGTGGGCAGGGTGGCAGCCCCCGTGACATGGGGCACAGCTCTGTCCTCTAGGCCAGAAGCCCAGGCCACCCACACTGGGGGTCCCGTGACTCGGTTTCCCTCTGCAGCTCAGGGAAGGTGCCCATCTCACTATGGAGACAGCAGGGGAGAAGGAGAGAGACATTTTCTCTCCCGTGGTTGGGCACATCACTGGTTGTGCCACCTTCTTTCTCCTGCAGAGAGGTGGGCAGCAGCAGGGAGATAGGGTGGGCAGACCCCAGCCTGCCCCTAGCCCTGGCAGCCGTGCCTTGGTTTCCCCACCTCCTCATCTCTTGTGCTACTGCACCCCCAGACCTGGCCCTGCCACCTTCCCAAAGGAAAGCCCTAAATTATTAGTGCCAGGGACCATGGGCTCCAGGACAGACGGACCAGAGCCTGGCTCGTGGCTTTTGCCCCACGGCTCTGGGGTCCCAGGCCCTGCCCAGCCCCTTCCTGACACAGCGCTTGAGCACCAAGAGCTGGTGAAAAGCCGGTGATTTCCGTGGCTGCTGGAGTGAAGTGGGGAAGCGCAGTGGCGTAGTGCTTTGGGAGGAAATCGCTTCAGCTCTGCCACCTCCAATATTTTTCCCATGGAGCTGAGACTATGGCAAAAATAAACAAAAGTAAATCGCTGACTTCCCTGCCGCCCCTCCTGGGGTCTTTCCAAGCCCTGCACAGCCCTGACCAGAGCCATCACTGCTTGGGGCGTGGGCTCCCCAGCTGTGAGGCTTGGAAGGATGCTGCCCTCCTCCATGAGACCCTCAGGGGAGGGACGCTTTTTAGGGATGGAAGTGCAGAAGGCTCTGCTTTCTCTTTCCTTCCTGGCACTTAATTAATGAGGAATCCCAAGGCAGCCTGCCTGGCCAGGGACAGGTCACATTGGGCATGGGGGCTGCCTCCTCTCCCTGGCACAGCCTCAGCAGGGATGCAGCCCACCCCCCTGCAGCCCCTCGCCCACACACCCACTTGGGGGACATGACTTCTGCTGCAGACACCCCTGGACGTGTTGCCGGGTGCACTCAAACATGGGCACACTTTGCAACCCATACATTCACGCACACACGTGCAAGTCCCGCCCTGCAGACACAGGCACACCCACACAGACATGCCCAGCCCCTTTCCATGCTCATGTGCATTTTCTAGCCCACATGGGCCTGCATGCTGCACACAGGTGCACAGCCTGCATGCACATGCATACGCGTGCATCCTGCATGCACACATGCTTCTGCATGCACACCCTACAAACACGTCCCTCCTGCGTGCATGCCGATGCATCCTGCACGTGCACTGCAAATACCTCACCCCCCCACGCACACGTTGCCCTGACTCACGGCTGACGCAGACGTACACCCGTGCATGCACACATGGTGTCGGCACTGTGGTGCGGGGGCAGCTCAGCTGGCCCCACTGCAGTCCAGCTGGCATCTCAGAGGTGGGAGCAGCAGCTCACAGCTCTCTGCTGGGCCCCTGGTTCGGGCTCGGCTCTCATCTGGATGGGAGCCCCCGTGGGCTGTCCAAACACCTCCCACAGCAGCAGAGTCCTGCGTGGGGTTCCAGCTGTGCCCTGAGCGGTGGGGGGCCCTTTCCCAGCCCCCCGTGGCCCCGGCAGACGGCCTTGCTGGGCTGCTGGCCCCACTCCAGCAGGGATGCTGGGATCTGCTTCCTCTCCCACCGCCCCGTGCCCCGCTCCTGGTCCTCTGGGGCCTGGCGGCAGCAGAACAGGATGGTCAACGTCCCCCCTTGCTATTCCTGCACAGCAGGGGGCCATGGACTTGCTGCTACCCTATGGCATCAGAGGCCATGGTGAGGGACGCCTTGGAGCAGGCTAGGTGAGAGGGGCCAGTGTTGCGAGCTGCCTCCCTAGGGCAGCAGCACGGCAGCTCTTGCCTCATGTGTGCAGCCTTGGGAGGTTCATCAGGCAGGGCCCCGGCTCCTGCCTGTGGTTATTTTGGGAACAATAACGGCAGCCATGATACAGTGTAATTGTGACACTAATTGTTGTGCTTTCTGGGGGGAAAAAAACCCCGTGGCTATCATCAAGCAGCTAGGAGAGGTGGTGACACTAGCTGTTCGCTGGTGTCACTGCCAGCAATGGCCCTGCAGGATACCCCAAAGCTGCTAGCAACCCCTCAGCCAGCCCACACACGGCCTGTGCCCTAGCCTGGGAGATGCCAGCCCCAATCACC